ACGCCCGCCCCCCCCCCCCCCCCGATGTGTCAGAAGTCACATGACATGAATCAACAGGGCTGCCTAAATCCCAGGTGGCTGGTGACCCATAAGTCTTGCTTGGCTCCTTTCCTATTACAAGCAATAGAAAGTCACAACTTCTTAGACTTGCCTGCTGACACCTCAGCTGAGAGGACTTCCCCTGAATTCTTATTTCTAATCCCACAATACACAAAACTACAACATTTTCATAAACTAGGTTGTGCAGAAGACACTTTAATAGCATTCAAAATGGAAGACCCTAGGAATAAAATCGGCATGGCAGGGAGAGATATATTTCAACAAACAGCGGACTTCCCTTTCCACTATCCCTGCATCTCCTCATATTGCCCAACGTAACACTAACACAGAGCAAAAGGCCAAGCTCGCTCCCATGGAGGACTACAATCCCACATTTAGATCATTTACAATACTCCATCCCGGGAGTGAGCTTGGAGTGGTGACTACTTTACAACATGCACAGGGAGCATGGGGAACACAAGTAGCCCCCCTCCAGAAGGAAGGACAGTGTCAGCACCAATTCAGAGATGATTGGAGGATCCACAGCCGAGTGATACACAAATAAGATACATTTTTGTTCATAGTTAAGGGACTTGAATGTATTTTTAGATTTAACTCCTTAATTTTGTGTCCCTTTAAACATGTCTGACCATGAAATATAGAATAATCCTGATCAATACCTGCTTGAAGTCAGAATACATGATCTTCCCCAGCTCCGGCTTCACTGTTGTAACTGCAAAAGACACAGGACACCAATTGTGATCAGTATGGAATGTATCCTCTCCAGCATGCAGAGATGATAAAAGGAGCGTTGTGTGGAAGTGGTCACAGACCTGACAGGATAGTCTGATATCAGAACGTGTGTGACAACTAGGGATGCACTGATACCGGTACTAGTATTGGGGCGAGTACTCCTGCTTGCCCAAATACTCTGATACCATACCCCATACTGGAACTTCCAGTCAGAGGGAGATTTCCTCTGACTGGCAGTGCAGCGAAGGAACATGGAGCCCGGGAAGCCGGCTCCATGCTAGCGGATGTACTGGTATCAGCGAGTACCAAAATATCATTATCGGTACTCTGACTCAAAACCGGTATCGGTGCATCCCTAGTGACAACAGATCAGGGTGGATGAAGTGCAGCACACACCTTTTGAGATTGGTCGGCCAGGCATGTCTGTTGGTGCTTCCAAACAGCACTCTCCATACCCGATATAGAAATTCTGGCTTCCTGGCAGTAGAAGCATAGATACCCCCACACCCTGCATCCTACAATGTGGTGCTCTGTGTCTAATCATCCGTTTAAAAGTTCAGGATATTGGCACACAGAATGAGGGGTGTTCACCTTTCCTGTAACTCTGCGACGGTCAGAATTTGCATTAAAGGCGAAGTTCACCTTTTGGACCATGTTTCATGTTACACCCATATTCAGGGTGGAGAGAGCTAGGGGATCCAACCAACTAATCGATAAATGAGAAAAGTTGACAACTATTGTTATAATCGATTTTATATCGATTAGTTGGTTGCAGCCCTAATATTTCATAATGAGAGCAGATAACTTACATGGATAGTCCGCAATCTGAGGCTTGGCGTGGGACACTTTGCTAAGCAGAGACGATTTGCCGGCATTCGGAAACCTGAGTAAAAAAAGATAAAACATTAAAACCTGACATGTTCCCTCCTAAAGTCATATTAAAATGACACTAAACTCAGGAGCTAAACATTAAAAATACATTCAAGTACCCTAACTATTAATAAATTTTGAGGATCTACAGCCGAGTGATACACAAATAAGATACATTTTTGTTCATAATTAAGGGACTTGAATGTATTTTTAGGATTTAACGCCTCCTGCTAGAACTATGAGGTGAGTGAAAAGCACTCACCTCATAGTTCTCCTTTAAAGTCAAAAGGTTTTTAAGCTATTTCAAATGCTGATGAGATCACTTTAAACTGATTTTTTATTTCTTTTAATAATTTGTAAAAATTCTTTATGTCACAAACATTAACTAAAGGGGGCCACACATGTTTGTTTGGTGTTTGAGTTTGGTGTGGAGGAACTTGAGTGGCCTGTACAGAGCCCTGACCTCAACCCTACTGAACACCTTTGGGATGAACAGTGGTGTCACAAGGGGGGTGCAGCCTGCAACAGGTGACACCAAAATGACTATATTGGTGTCACCCCCTCTGAAAAGTCAGAACTCCGTTATGGACTGAGAGCCAAACAGCTGCACGAGAGAGGAGAGGACCCGATGGCATGCCTTATCCTGCCGGATGAACATCCCCTTCTCTCTTTGCTGGCATCACCAACATGGCCGCCAGCAGTGAAGTGCACATGACGTCATTACACGCATGCCTAATGACATCACGTGTATACGTAATGATGTGCACACTGGGTGACGGCACTGGGGATGAATAAGAATGCTGATTACCAGCCAGGTCTTATCCAGTACATGACCCCACCAATGTTTCCTTGGCTTAATGAGCACAAATAGACACCCTCCAAAATGTTGTGGAAAGCCTTCCCAGAAGAGTGGAAGCTCTTAAAGCCGCAAAGAGGGGACCAACTCCATATTCATGGCCCCGGCTTCAGACCGCCTATCATAAATTGCATACAAACAAACAAGATGACTAGTAAACAACACAGACAATGCTGCTCCTCCAACGACTCATAGCTCTGCCTTAGCAATGCCAGTAATGATGATCTTCCCCTTAATAAATCATTACATCTTGCTGCCACTCCAGATTTTTGTTGTGTCTGGAAAAGGTCGCCTGCTAGGCCGGTATTGTCAGATTCCACAATATTATCCCCATCAAAGGGAATTTACTAAATGACGGACACACAATAGAACAACAACAATTAGAGATCAAATGCTGGAGCCGCTATTAGCGCAAAGGTAAGAGAACGCTCATTTCTGCTCTTCTATGAATCACGCGGGCAGGTCTGGAAGGTCAGTAAAAGGTTCCCGTTTGAAGATTATCAAGGAGCACTTTCCCCGGCCACATTAAAGACAAGCAGTAATCACATGAATAGAAGAGAGAGGCAGCGAACACGGGACGAATGCCGTCTACATACACAGGAGGCTGGGAGCTATGACCAAGGGAGCTGCCATTAGAGCTGAGGAAGCCACTTCAATGAGAGGTGAAACGTCTTCATCAATACAGAACAGGTCCACTTGAACATGACCAACTACGACCAGCTCTGCATAAGGAGAGGGAACGCTAATGATCCTACATACAGACAGGGGCCAGAGGTATTCGTGGTAAAACAGAAATCCCAAATGGGGCGAGCTGCTGCATTTCTAGAGAGAACAGACTTCTGGGAGATGTCCAGCTTTGTAGCCATTGTCAGGTGAGGCTCAGGCTGGCCATACACTGTTGTATGTTTTTTGGTTCAATCTGCAGGCTGAACACAAAAATCAATGGAACAGATTCCTCCACTAAACAGCGTGGATGGAAAATCTCCTGAATCTCCGGCTGGGTTGTTGTATTCCCGCTGGCTGCGCCCCCTGGTAGAATACCCCAACGTTGTTTGCCCCAAAATTTTCCATCCGACTCCTTCGATTTTCTGATCAAAAAGTTGCCGGATGTAAGGGTAGTGACAGGGCCACCGACTGAACGAATGTCAGCTGGGTCATCAAGACCCGGCTGAAATTGATAGGGCTGCAGCTAACGATTATGTTCATAATCGATTCGTTAGCCGATTATTTTTTCCGATTAATCAGATTAAAAAAAACACATTCTTAAGTTAAAATAAAATACGCGGCGATACCTGACATGTATAGCCCAATCATCATTTTTTCTATATAGGTGCACCCGACTTGTGTTTCCGTTAGTATACGCGCGTTTGCAGGGTTGGGGGGACCTCCAATTTTTTTCAGGCGGGGAGAGCAGCGGGGATTTAAAGGGACACAGACCACTGCAGCCAGCACCAGCCGGGAGGAGAATGGAGGAGCAGAGCGGCGGCAACTAATCAAAAATAAACTAATCAATGATGAGAATCGTTGCCAACGATTCTCATTATCGATTAAAATCCATTTAATCGATTAGTTGTTGCAGCCCTAGAAATGTATACAGTGTATGGCCAGCAAAAGCCCCAAATTAAAATGTAAGTTCACCACTGGTCAAAAAAAGAAAATAAGATTAAAGTATATCAAAACCCAAAGCCAAAAACGTATTATGTTGAAGCCTACAGTCCTTACATCAAGTGACTGCATTAGTGTCCTGTGTTCGGGCCTTTTTTTTTAACCATTTCCTGTTAATCCTGTGAATGAGACACTTCCTGTCTCGGTGACTACACTCTTTCCTCCACTGTATCTATGGAGGCAGCCACGGTTGTCACCTAGACTGGAGGGTAAACATGTCTGGCTTTGTTCATCTCTATTACATGGGCGATGGAGACATTAGTAGTTTACAGAAGGAATAGAACACTGTTTCTGCTTTGAGTTCAGTTATAAGGACACTTCATTTATGGCAAGATCAAAAGTTACTTTCTGGACTTGCTGAAAATGTTCTTGGCCTCAAAAAGAAAACTACTGCAGCCACATTAAAGAACATATGTTCCCCAGTTTGGTTATCCTTTAACCCTTTTACTGCCGAGGACATAAGGGTTACGTCGGAAACAGAACTGCTGGCAGCTCAGGTCGGCTCAGATACGTCCTCGGCATTCTCTTAGGCTATAAAGTCATGGCTGCTTTGTTGACCGTGAGCCTACAGCAGAAGAGTCTCCTAGACTCCGCCCATTCATGAATAGTTGCGATTGCAGAAATTCAGACAGGATGCCCCTAGTTGATGTAACACTGATGAACACCAATGGTGATAATAAAATACAAATATGACTATACTGTACGCCTAATTTCCAACAACTCCTATTGCAGTACATCACGCTCAGGTACGGATTACATTCCCCTTCCCATTTACTGTAACAAAAAAAAACTTTAAAGTCATATTAAAGTCAAAAGGTTTTTTATGCTATTTCAGCTGCTGAGGAAACCACTTACAATGGATGCTGCTCCTTTACCTCTAAAGTGACATTAAAGGATGCCCCCCCCTCTCTAACTCTGTAACTTTTCCTCTCTGCCTCCCTGACCTTTCCTTTTTTTAAAAAAAACCAAAGTCTTCTACCTACCAACCTCCAGACAATACCCCTTGAAGGTAGATCCTACCCTCCTAAAGGGACCCTTACAGGTGTCATAAATGAAATGCATATTTAAGTGTAAGGTGTAAGGACTTATCTTAAATTATGCCTCTTGATCGGATCATCTTCCTCTTTGCAGTAGCTTTTAGAAGTCCCTCCGGAGCTGATACCGCTCTCCGATCCAGCGCCAGCTCCTGTCTCTTCCTGTCCCACGCTGTCCATCCGCGTGCACACTGCTGCATTGACTTACCTTGTGTCTCTCTTCTCCCCGCTGAAGATCTGAACTGCGCATGCGCCCACCCCATGATCCTTCGTGGTCGCTCGAGAATCTTCATGCAGGAGGGTCCGGACGAAGACACAGGTAAGTTATTAACTTTTTTTTTGCATATAGCTTCTGCTTGCTAGCAATAGATATATGCAAAAAAAATGGAAGGTTTAAATGTCCTCTAAATGTGTTAGTTTCCGGCAGAATCAGCTGGTCTCCTGAGCACTGGTCATTTCCCTTGCAGGATCCTATAGAGCCACCTTTTTTGTGAGCTAGTAAGCTGTGTGCGTCTCCACAAAAACACTGGCACACCACTGCCCTTTTTCCTGCTCATCCTTCCTCCAAGCTAGCAGATGAACAGTTGCTGGAGTCTGCTATCGCTTGTAATCTTGTATAGGACATGAAGTTCAGGGAAGCCGAGCTGAGAGTATGGGAGTAGCTGTCTGGAAACATGATGACTGGAAGTGTTTCTGCAAAAAGAAATACTTTGCTGGGCGATGTGTATTTGTTTGATCTGGATTCATTCTTGAAATAAAAGTTTGAGAGTTGTATACGACTTTTAAAAAAAAAGATCTCTGCACTGCTACTCTCCGGCTTGATTACACTCCATTAGATTGCTCGTTTTTCTCTGCCGCACCCAGTAGCCGGCGGGGTGCTGTGACGTTTACAGGAGCCTGCAGACCCCTCACACCGAACTCAAAGATCATCAAAAAGACCCGCTGATGATGTCACTGGATCCTGTAATAGGTATTTCTTTGAAAAGGAAATTGTTTGATTGAAATGGTTCATTGGATGGTGATCAGGGAAGAGGGAACAAGTGAAGGTTTTACAGTGGGGCAAAAAAGTATTTAGTCAGCCACCAATTGTGCAAGTTCTCTCACTTCAAAAGATGAGTTCTTGGGAGAACTTGCACAATTGGTGGCTGACTAAATACTTTTTTGCCCAACTGTATATACAAACATTACAATTCAGCTTCAATATATAATGTGGAGGAGCCAGTCAGGCAGATGCTGGCAGCAGCTACATCTACTCAGTCAGCAGAAACCACCAAATGAGACGTTGGGAAGGGAAGACCTCAGCAGTGAGTTAATATTGGTTGTGGATCTTTGTTTGATCCAATGAACTGCTCTCACACTCACCCGACCAATCCCACGTCCGCAATCAGCTTCATGTCCAACCGAACGATCCTTTTCTGTCCCTTGGATGGATGGAAGTTTGTCCGGAAACCACCACCGTGACCTCCTCTGGCAACCCGGAGCTTGTCTCCCTCTTTATCCAGCTCACCTACAAGAGAAAAAAAACCAATTCGATAAGTCGCCCCTGTAATTGGAGCCCCCAAATTCTTTCCACTGAATTCGTGTGCTGCAGTCAGTGGAGCAGATGGGAACACATTATAATTTAGGTCAAAGACGGTCCAATATCTGGAAGCAAAGCAACAGATGTCAACATTATGTATAGCAATTAGGCCACATAGGGATTCAACTGAACCAGAGATGAGAGAAATAAGAATAAGATGTCATTGCTAGCTGAACCCTGAAATGTGTGTGGACAATACCCTTGCAGTAGGCCCCCCCAGGCCCACCCTCCTCCTTGGTTAAGTCTAAAGCCGGCCATACAGCTATAGATTATCTGCAGACTTTCTATGGTCAGATGGAAAACGTGCAACGGATTCCTCCATCTACGCTAAACTGTGTGGATGGAGGAATCTCCCGCTGGGACAATCTTCAGTATCTTGCTAGTCGGCCCCGCTGGCTCTCAGAACACCCGAACAATGCCTGCATCCAATCAGATTGTTCAGGTATTTTGAGAGCCAGCGGGGCCGACTAGCAAGATACTGAAGCTTGGCCCAGTGGGAGATTCCTCCATTCACACAGTTTAGCGTAGATGGAGGAATCTGGTGCACGTTTTCCATCTGACCATAGAAATCTGCAGATAATCTATCTAAGGTGTATGGCCAGTTTTAGGGTAGAGGAAGAAGCTGTACAACAGCATACAACAGTATATCAGAGCTGCCTGGGAACATTAATATACAGACTGTAGGTGGTTGTCTATGGACATGTAGCATGGCGGGCAATCAAACGCATCATAAAATAAACCAAAATTAGGAATTGCTTCTTACCTATCTTAAGCCCGTCATCAGTGGTGACAGTTATTCCCACAGGAACATCAACCTGACAATCTGAACCGGACGAGCCTTTAAGTGAACGTACACTGTAGGGATGAGAATATACAGAGTTACTGACTGTATGGGGGTTCATTCTGTCAGCATCGGGGGTACAGCTGGGCTCTTATGGGCCCCAAAGTCTCATCTGATTAATAAACATAACATGATGAAGCTTCCTTTGATAATCAGGGAGAATAACATAAGTATACTCTCAAACATATAAAGCAGTGAATCTGACATTCCCCAAACATTTACTGCGGGTGAATCTTCCAGGTGCATGTGTTTTAAATGACGGTTATTGATTCACCACAAGTATAAGTTTGCTGAAAGTCACATTCTCTGCTTTACAAATACGCTTTTTAAGGTTACCTGTCACTAGAAATACTTTATAAAGTAATATTACATCCCAACTACAGTTACCCGAGAACCAATTGCGCCCTCGACCGCCCCTGAGCCTGGGACATGAGTATTATGCAAATCCCAGCTGTGCTTCCTGCACCCTACAATACAATGGGAGGTCCTCACATATCAGAAAAAGAGGAATAAAACTGTTGCTGCAAACGTTCATGCACCTTTACCAGTGTTATAGTTCATCCTTACTTTTTCTTTAACATTATTACTTACAGGGATTTGAGGCCCGGCCTCTGTTGCTTGTTTACATCCTGCAGCAAAAGTCTCCTGGCAGCGGCTACACAGTACTTCTACATGGCTGGTCTGCCTATGCCCACTGGCTGGAAGATGGCCTCATAAAAATCAATGGGCATGTACTGCATAGGTGCGGCCAGGAGAGGGAAACTTTGTAATTCCTAGGGAGACCTTCCCAGGAGCAAATGATTATATCTGAGGATGCACAGATACCGGGCATTGGGGCATTTTCTCGGGTGCTTGTGAAAATGCCCCAATACTAGACAGCCGGTGAGACCCTCCAGACCCTGGGTGAGGCCCTGCACAGCCCACCTGAGACCCTGGAGACATGAGGCCACCACCCTGGAGCAACACAGAGTATGTAGCTTGATATTATTCTGCATTGCCGTACAATGTATTGCTGGGATTTGTAGTCCTCTATAGCTGGTGGTATTATTCTGCAATGCTGTATAATATATTGTTGGGATTTGTAGTCCTCTATAGCAGATGCAATTATTCTGCATTGCTGAGAATTGTTGTCCCTCTACAGCTTGGAGTCAGTGTCAGAACTACCAGAGCCACAGCGGTGGCAGCTACGACTGGGCCCTGGCGCCCCAACACTGTCCTAAAATCATTAGTCTGCATTGTGTTAGAAAAACAGTCACATGACATAAAGAAAAACAAAAAGCGTGTTGGCATTTGGTATCGGCGAGTACTTGAGGAAACTATCAGTACTCGGCCTGGGAAAAAATGGTAGTGGTGCATCCCTAATAATATCACTTCCCCCCAAACACTAACACTGCCCTCATCACTTCCCATAATGCTGGTGAAGAGACTCTACAGGACGGTATGTGTGTTTGCATTAGAAAAGGAATGTAGTTCTACATGGAAGTGCCCCTTTCCCTGCACACACATCGTTATAGTGTCTTATCGGAGTTCTGTGTGTGCCGGACACTCACCTACTGTTCTCTCCGACCTCACCCACAAACCGATTATGTGTATACTTGTCTTTGACACTTTTCATGGTCACGCTGTGCTTTGCCACCATCCACACGTCTCCACCATTTCCTCCTACTCCTCCTAATCGTGGCAGCCCCATTCCTCCAGCTCCGCCTCTCACCATGAGCCGCAGGTTGTCGATGAAGTTTCCATACTGCAGGGGGGAGATCCAACATTAGAGAACACCACACACCACAACAGATGTCACACATGTATAACATGCAGTCTGTACACACAACAGACATCACACATGTATAACATGCAGTCTGTACACACAACAGACATCACACATGTATAACATGCAGTCTATACATGCAACATACGTCACACGTGTATAACATTCACTTGGTACACACAACAGACGTCACCCATGTATAACATACATACAGTCGGTATGTACAACAGACATCACATAAAACACACATCACACACACAGTTGGCACATGCAACAGACCTCACACATGTATATTATATATGTCAGAACAGATGATTATATATATATATATATATCGCACACACGAACAGGAAGCTATTATTTACATATGTATTACAGACTTGGCATATATCACACACAGTATATTGATATAGAGTACATAGAGGTGACACCGTGACACTGTACATATTGAACATGCAGTACAGTCTGTATATAGAGAGAAGAACACTGTACATACAGAACACACATTGCACTAATACCTTCCTAAGCAAAACCCCACTGCAGCGCACCATCCTGCTCCCAGATACAGCCGGAAGTCCTCGGTGTCCCCTGTGCTCCAGTCCCCACGCTTCTTCCTCCTGGCTGACACTGTGCAGTCAGCGAACCAGTCCGTCGGATGCCGCAGCCTCCACACATCTAGTCCGGGCAGTTTCTGCCCACACCGCCTGCTCTCCTCCTGGATTGACCCATGCTGGAGAATTATCGGCTCTTTATTTTGTTCTTCTTTTTTCTAGACATAAAGTTCACATAGCTTCCTCTTTTAGCCTAAAACGTGACAGTTGACACTAATATTGTATACATGATATAGATCAGCTGCAGGCTACCTGTTGTGAATAATGCTGTCAGCCCTCCAGTTGTTGTGGAACTACAAATCCCATGAGGCATTGCAAGATTTTCACAGCCACAGGCATGACTCCCAGAGACATATGCATGATGGGATTTGGAGTTTCCCCACAGTTGATGTCACTGGTTGCCAGGAGCAGCTAGAACGTCCCACTCAGCTCCTGGGAACCAGTGATGTCAGTGAGCTGGGTGGGGAGCCACCCAGAGTGTCACAGGTTGCTAAGAGATCCCGTCGGAAAAGGAGCAACAGGAACACATGCCACCCCCCTCCCATATGACCAATGAGGCTGCCTCATTAAAGGGACTGCCCTGGGCATTTGGATCAGTATTTTAGAGCAGAGTTCAGGGGCAGAAAAATAAAATGCCCTAAACAGAATGCTGGAGAATCGGCATGGATGGGAGTATCACGCTCGTGTACATGAGCTCTTAGTATACCCAAAGAGGCTGCAGGAGATCAGCAGCACTGAGATACAATGAAGGATGAAAATGGGGTAAAATCAGCATTGATGATTAATAAAGAACAGTTGTTGTTTACGATCTGCGGAGCTTCAGAAAATGAAACCGCCCAGTTCTGGTTAAAATAGATGTTTACAAAGGAATTTCCTGATAAAATGGTGGATGGGTATAGCCACGCCCCCTCTTATAATAACCGAACACAGAAGGCGGTTTAGTTACTCCTTCGCACAACGGGGATTGATAAAATACTGACCCCAATGGCACCCATCCATCCCCGAGCACTAGAGGAGTTGAGGTCAGTTATTAATAATAGATGTCATTGCCTTTTATTCATCTTTTTTACAGAATCCCTTTCACAGTCGGCTGTTCATACACAAGGTGAGACGACAGATCCGGGAAATAACGTATTCATTTGTCTTCTGTTGTGTGAAAATGATTCAAGGCATAACTTATAAAAGTATATTTAAAGCTGAGCTCCGGCCCTCCCTTCAGTCTGGTACAGTTGTACCGGCTCCTCTCCTGGACTGACATTGCTGCCTCTGATTTCACTGCACACCGTGAGCTGCTCACAATGGGCATTAGAAGCTTCAGGATGTTGGATAGAACCCGCCTCATTTCCTGGCTGGAGGACATCCAGCATCAACTAGAACTTTCCTCCCCAGCCTGACTCTCCCTGGCCCGCCCCTTTCATTCATTGGATTTCAGTGGATTCAGTCATGAAGGCTCAGCATCACATGTGTGTGCTATCTTTCTAGTCTCGGCTACATTTTATACCTCGTGATACATTTTTTACTATTATTATTAGACAGGATTTATATAGCGCCAACAGTTTGCGCAGCGCTTTACAATATATGGAAGACATTATAATTACAATACTAATCAAGACAAGATGGTAAGGAGGACCCTGCCCCAAAGGGCTTATGTGATACATTTTATATATAATATATTTAATATCATTTGATATCTTTCATGTGATACATTTTATATCCTATGACAAATTTTGTATTATGTGCTACATTTCATATCATGTGATTCATTTCATATCATGTGATACATTTCATACATGTGCTACATTTCACATCATGTGATACATTTCATATCATGTGATGCATTTCATACATGTGCTACATTTCATATCATGTGATACATTTCATACATGTGCTACATTTCATATCATGTGATTCATTTCATATCATGTGATACATTTCATACATGTGATGCATTTCATACATGTGCTACATTTCATATCATGTGATACATTTTATATCCTGTGACAATTTTTTTTATTATGTGATACATTTCATATCATGTGATAAGTTTTATATGATTCATTTCATATCATGTGATACATTTCATACATGTGCTACATTTCATATAATGTGATACATTTCATGCATGTGCTACATTTCATGCATGTGCTACATTTTATATCATGTGATACATTTCATACATGTGCTACATTTCATATCATGTGATACATTTTATATCATGTGATACATTTCATATCATGTGATACATTTCATATGATACATGTGATACATTTCATATCATGTGATACATTTCATATCATGTGATAACTTTCACATCATGTGATAACTTTCACATCATGTGATACATTTTATATCATGTGATACATTTCATACATGTTGTACATTTCATATTATATGATACATTTGATGCTTTGGACTGTATCTGCTCCATTAGCTGTGCTGTGTGTTGTGTGTGCTGTGTGACTTGTCTCTGCGTTCTTCTTGCTCACAGCGGTGATCTCAGCACTGCACACTGATAGGAATACTCCTGACTCACAGACAGTATGTGGCCCCCCTGGTGACGCAGGACCGTAGGAGGAGCATCAATATAAAAAGTGTCTTGTCTGTCCCACTCTTCACCTGTCATCCTCCGATCAGAAGACTGCAAAGGTCTGTCACAAGTCACTCCGTCTTCTCTCATTCATTCTTCTCTGCACAATCCCATCATGTTACATATAATTATCCCATTAACTTTATCAAATGTTTTTTTATATTTTAGGTCACACTGCACACCCCTGAGGTAAGTACACCTGCTTGGTGTCTATCAATCTTATTACATTTCTAGTACTTGTATATCAAGCTATAAAATTTTGCCTTGTCTTCTATGAGTTCTATAACACTGTTAACTTTTATTTAGTATTGGATAGAGTGGTGAGGGGTTTGAACCCCTGTTAAGTTTTTATCGTTGTGTGTGTCTGCTGCATAGATTATTTGTCCAGGCGACCAGTGTCACTAGGACAGAGGGTGAGGGAGACTCCAACATTTTTCCTCTGGGGTCACCTGTCGAAGAGGGATTTCCCCTCACTTTGTAGAGATTTTCCCTCACTTCCTGTTGCATCCTTAGGACAGGAAGTAAAGGGAAACTTCTCTCAGTGGGACACAGGCAGCATAGAGGCGTTATAACCATTCACTACTATTGACCTAACCTACCCCCTCTAGAGATGGATACTTACCTTGATCTGATGGCAATGATTCTGTTTGTTTACATCGCTGCCCTGGCCAAGCCTGCACATTACAGCCTCATAGACTTCTATGGGATTGTCTCCGATCTTCTCCAGCCTCACCATACAGCCCCATAGAAGTTTACAGGGGGCACTAATGCGCAGGTGCGGCCAGGACAGTGAAGACTATGTGGTACTGAATGTAAACAAAAAGCAGAACCACAGCCATCGGATCAGGGTAAGTATGCATCCATGAAGGGGGAACATGGGTTAGGAAGGGGGCAAAAAATCTAAGTGCACTTTGTTTTGAAATGTACTCATCCCTAAAATATATCCAGGTCTATAACCACTACAGTGGAGTCCTGATATACACCCCATGTTTAGGTTTAACTCTGATCGTGCTTTTGTTATGTCTTGTTCTGGCACTCATATCTCATTTACTGAAATCTTAATATGTTCCCCCAATTTTACTTTTTTTGCAACCCCCCAAAAATATAAATATAAATAAACAGAACAGACCGATACCTAATTAAAGCATATCAAGCAATATAAATGAACACCACGGTAAAGGAGCTTTTAGTATATACTTAAAAGAGGATGTGCCCGATCCTCCAGCGCTTCACTAAATTAGAGGATTAGCTCAAGGTTTCTTCTAGATCAGGGGTATTAAATTACAATTCCTGGAGGTCTGAATCACATTCCCACTCACTGCCCCCTTATAGTAGTTGTACCCATCAGAGTGCCCCCTTGCATTAGTTGTCGCCACTACAGTGCCCCGTTGCATTACCTGTACCCATTAGAGTGCCCCCTTACATTACCTGTCCCCATCAGAGTCCCCCCTACATTACCTGTCCCCATCAGAGTCCCCCCTACATTACCTGTCCCCATCAGAGTCCCCCCTACATTACCTGTCCCCATCAGAGTGCCCCCTTACATTGGCCGTCCCCATTAAAATTCTCCTTTACCTTACTGTTCCCCATCAGAGTGCCCCCTTACATTAGTAACCTCCCCTTAAATTAGTAACCAGTGTAGGGGGCCACTCCAATGGGGGCAACTAATGTAAGGGGGCCCTCAGCTAAGGACAATTAATAATTAGTTGTCCCCATCAGAGTGCCCCTTTACATTAATTACAAAAAATAGGGGGGGGCGATCTGATGGCCACAGCCAATGTAAGGCAGAACTCTGATGGGGACAGCCAATGTAAGTGGGCACTCTGATGAGGACAGCCAATGTAAGTGGGAACTCTGATGGGGACAGCCACAGCCAATGTAAGGCAGAACTCTGATGGGGATAGCCAATGTAAGGCGGAACTCTGATGGGGACAGCCAATGTAAGGCGGAACTCTGATGAGGACAGCCAATGTAACGGGGAACTCTGATGAGTACAACTAATTATTAGTTGTTCTTAGTGGAGTGCCCTCTTAAATTAATTGTGCCCTTTAGAATGCCCCTTCACATTATTGTGCCCACATGCCTTTACAGCAGGCAGAGAGAGGTGGAGCAGGCTGCAGGTGAGGATGGAGGAAGTTACCCTTCCGTCCTCCTGTAATGCTGGGGGAGGGGCACACACTTGACGTCACTGGTTGCTAGGACCTCCACTGGTGGTCCTACAAGCAGTGATTGAGGAGAGGGACACCCCCTCTCTTCTACTGCAATACCGGTCTGTGTGAGGACAGAGGTGATAAGGGGTGTGGCAGTTACTCAGCGATGTCAGCACAGAGCACTGCAGTGTGAGAGTAGGAAGCTGCATTTTGTCTGAAAGAAAAGGGCATTATAAAGCATT